ATGCCATAAGGGACTTTCCGGTTCCCACTTCATGTCCTCCAGATCGACTGTTTGTCCCAGACCGCCTGGTCCCCAAGGTACTGGACATGTGCCACTGCTCCCGTCTTTTCTGTCACCCAGGAGTCAGTAAGACGATACAGGTGGTCCGCTCGCAGTTCTGGTGGCCATCCCTGACAAAGGATGTCAAGGAGTTTGTTGCTACCTGTCAAAGATGTTGCCAAGCTAAGCCCTCCCGCCGCCCACCTTCGGGGTTGCTGCGACCCCTTCCGATCCCATGCCGTCCCTGGTCTCACATCGCCATGGACTTTGTCACAGGTCTGCCCCCCTCTAATGGTTTCACTGTCCTGTTGACTGTCATCGACAGGTTCTCCAAGATGGTTCATCTGGTGCCCCTCAAGGGACTACCATCTGCTAAGGAGATGGGGGTGGTCTTAGCTCGTGAGGTCTTCCGTCTTCACGGCCTGCCCAAGGACATTGTCTCGGATAGAGGACCACAGTTTGTTTCCAGGTTCTGGAGGGAGTTTTGCTCCACGCTGGGCATCTCTGTCAGTTTATCTTCTGGTTTCCAGCCACAGACTGATGGACAGACGGAGAGGGCCAACCAAGAGATCGAAACCAAGCTTCGCATTCTCTGTGAGTCTGACCCAACCAAATGGTCTCAAAACTTGCCATTGGTGGAGCAGGCTATCAACGCTCTCCCGTCCTGTACCACTGGTCTTTCCCCCTTCTATGTTGTTTATGGTTTTCAGCCACCGATGTTCTCGATTCAAGAAAGGGAGGCCAAAGTCCCCTCTGCCTACGCCGCTGCCGTCAGGTGTCAACGTATCTGGAGGAGGGCCAGGAGGTCCATGATCAGGATGTCTGGGGTTCAGTCCAGGTCTGCCAACCGCCATCGTCTACCCGCTCCCGATTACCAGGTGGGCCAGAAGGTCTGGTTGTCCTCTAAGGACCTTCCCCTGCGGGTAGAATGCCGTAAGTTGGCACCCCGCTTTATCGGCCCTTTCCCAATTGCCAAGGTTGTGAACCCAGTGGCTGTCCGACTCCAGTTACCCCGGTCTATGCGGATTACACCTACATTCCATGTGTCCCGGGTAAAGCCCTATGTCCCACCTCGCTTTGGGCCCACCTCTGACCCCCTTCCTCCGCCCCGGTTTTTGGATGGTGACCCTATCTACACGGTCCGCCGCATCCTCCGATCCAGGAGGCGGGGACGGGGGGTCCAATATCTGGTGGACTGGGAAGGATATGGACCAGAGGAACGGACTTGGATTCCAGGCCGTTTTATCCTTGACCGGACTCTCATCAGGGACTTCCACCACCTCCACCCTGATCAGCCTGGTGGTCCGTCCGGAGCCGGACCTTGAGGAGGGGGTACTGTTATGATTCTGGCCTGTCTGCCTGCTCTGCTCTCCCTGTGAGCAATCATCTCCAGCTGCTGCACTGCAGTGCAATCAGCAGAATGTCTCTCACCTGTGTTCAAGCAGTTATAAGACAGCCTGTGGCAGGCAGACAGGGCCAGATAATTGCAAACCAACTAGCAAGCAGTATCCAGCACTTAAAGTTACCTGACCAAGTCTTTGCTTCACGGATTTTCCCTTTTTGCCTAGCCCCTTTTGGATTTCTCTGCCCTCTGGACAACGACCCTGTTTCTGCCTCTTGACTTCTGCCTCCTGCCAAGCTCCCTGTTCACTAAAGCCTGAGTCTGGCTTCCTGGACCTAATTCCTGCCTCTGTGCTCCAAGCCACCCAACTGTTGGCCACCCAACAACAGTTTTAAGGAGAAATCTGCTCTATTCATGCTGCTGAAGGGAGGACTCTTTTAAGGTTAGTGGTTTTGTTGGTTTCATGCTTTTCATTATTTGAACTCCTTCAAGCCACTAACCTAAATCTCCCTCCTTAGAAATCCCTGACCCACGGTGGATGTGCTCCTGATGTCCTGAGTTTTTAATAAACTGTTTAAATCATTCTGTGTTCTGGCTGAAACTTTGGGTCTTCTGACTGGCTCATTACATTTAAACCATCAAATGTATTTCACAATTATTTGATTAGATTAGCAGTATGTGTTTTAGTGTAAGGTTTAATTTCTTGACTATTTTTTTTATTTTTTTATTCTTAAAGTAACAAACCAGGGCTTGCTTTGGCAGCACACCGATGTATAGCGGCATTGGTCCTCCGCGACACGGGCGACCAGGGTTCAAATCCGCTCTGTGGTTTTTTTTCCCGCATGTCTGTTCCCATTTCTCATACCCCCTCTCATAATAAATAAATAAAAATAACAAACCAAAGTACTCTATGATCCTCTATAGTGGTAAATGGCCCATACTTATGCTGTTTTTTCAAGTCAGGATACTTGATTATGTCGTTCACAGCTGTCCTGATGGTCACTGACTGAAGCGAGGCGCCACCGGGCCTTCTGACCACCATCAGTAGGTGAAGTGCAGGTTAAGTGTCATGCCCAAGGACACAACGAGATTATGGAGAAGAAAATCTAGTAAGGGCTTTTGGATAGAAAATAAGAAAAGTTTTCTTGAAGTTTTGAATAGGAAAACATGAAATTCACCAGCTACAGACCAGTCAGCAGAATTCCACTTTCGTTTTACCCAAAGGGCAAAATAGACAAACACATTCTGAATATAAGTACAGCCTGAATTTTGAATTAAGACTGCTCTATATCTGGAAATCGACTACTATAATCACCTCAACATGTTTAAAGATTAAAGAGTCATTACGGAATTGTTGTACACATCCCTAATCTTCAACATTTCTCCACAAAGCTGACAGATCAGCTCTCAATATACTGTAAAGTAGAAATAGTGAGTGATGTTACTGGGTTGCAGTGGATTGAAGAGTACAAACAATTTCAGGATGTAAAGTGAACTGCTTCACTTTCAGCGTTGCAGATCATTTCAACAGAATAGAATGAAAGAGAAGATGTCTTTATTGTACTCTGGTACAGTCTTCTAAAATTGCACAGAGTTGGGATTGACAGATTGTTTCGCTGATGCCAACCCAAGAGAGAGTTAAAAGGTGATAATCATGAAGAGTAGCAAACACAGTTAGAGGGGAAAATATCTGTTGCTGTTTCTCGTGGCAAAAATAAAGCAAAGGCTTCAGTCAGAATATATTATGATAACAGCTAAAAAGTTAGAAACGGGAATGAAGAAACAATATAAATTGTATGAGGGTAGGTCATAAAGGGCTATACTGTGTTTTATTTGAGGTAGGGATGAAGAAACCTGAAAAATTTGAAAATTATCAAATAAACTTCACCATCCACTTTGCATCATTTATTTGAAATAGAGAGATTGTTATTTGGTGAATTTCAGTCACAATAGCATTTAGCAGGGTTACCCAGCACAGGAGATGCTTAGACTTAGACAGATTTTATTTTGTCATTTTGTACACACAAGAGTAAACAAAAAGAAATTTTGTAGAGTAAGTACAACTCTCTAGACTATTTAATTTTTTTGTGCAGCTTGATAAAGGTAAGCAGTAGTGATAAAAAAAACAAAAAACATTGTGATTAAAAAAAGTGATATAAACATATTACTGTATAGTTACAGTTCCAACATTCAGGTTTTGTTTTTTAAACCCATTTTACAAAACATTTAGCAGTCTAATGGCGGGGGGGAAGAAACTGTTCTGGAATCTGCTGGATCTGCATCAGCTGCTTCGAAGCCTCTTCCCAGAGGGCAGCAGGGAGAACAGTCCATGGTGGGGGTGTGAGGGGTAATTTATAATGTTACAGGCTCTGGACATGCAGCACTGGGATGAAATGTCTTTTATGGAGGGACAAGGAACAAAAATTATCCTCTCTGCTGTTCTCACCACTCTTCTCATCTTCTTCCAGTCTGAGGAGCTGCAGCCTCCACACCACACAGTGAGACAGCTGGTCAGAACGCTCTCTATGGTGCTTCTGTAAGGTGGTGAGGATGGGTGGGGTCAGGTGGGCTCTCCTCATCCACTGCAAGTGCTTTTGTGCCCTTTTGATCAGTGAGGTGGTGTTTACATCCCAGGTGAGGGTGTCTGTGATGTGCATCCCCACGAATTTGGTGTTGTTGTTTTAAAATACGGGTATATGTAATTAATTAATTGATTAATTTACATTAAAGATTACAGATACAGTGGAGATTAAAGATACAGAAATGGTGGCAATTACATTAAGCTTACAATGAGGAGGTTACACCAGACAGTTTGGTGGTATGTACTGATTCCAAAGCAGTTTTAGAAAGTATTCACAGAGAAGGAAATGATAGAAAAATATTAGAAATCCAGCACAGTCTATTTAGATTATATAGGGGTGGCATTGATATTTGGTTATGTTGGGTTCCAGCACATGAAGGTATAAAAGGCAATGAAAAAAGCAAAAAAGGCTTTAGAGGGAACAATACCCATTACAATTTCTTTTGAGAAAGGAGAAGTTAAATCCCTTATTAAGAGTTAAGAAATTGAAAAAATGGCAAAAGAGATGGAACGAAGATAAGAAAGGAACAGGATTATATAAGGTAGAAAATCATTAATGAGAGAAACAGAAGGGAAGAAGTAATAATCATTAGATTAAGAGTGGCTCATACCTATTTAAATGACAGTTTATATTTAATGGGTGGGAAAAGTAATGATAAATGTGAAGGATGTGGAGAAAAAGAAAATGTAGAACATGTACTGATGAACTGTAAAACTTATGAACATGAAAGGGAGAAATTGAGAAGGATGGTTGGAAGGACAGGCAAATAATGGAGTCTTAAAGGAATATTGGGACATGAAGGAAATATAAAGGATATCCACAGATTAAGGAAAGCATTGTTTATTTATCAACAGAGTACACAATTAAAAAATAGAATTCGATTTAAAGTAATGTTGCTACATACTCCTGTACAGTAGGTGGCGGTGTGCAACTTAAAGTTGCTTGCGATCCGCAATAATAGAAAAGAGGAAGAGGAAGTGTGACATGATGCACTGCCTTGCGCTAGGTGGCAGTATGCAGATTAATGTTGGATGCAACCTGTGATCAGAGAGAAGAAGAAGAAGAAGCGAAATTAACTTGTGTGGATCCTCAGAGTTGTGGCGGCTGCTCTTCATGGCTCCTCTCCGGGTTCTCTGCATTCACGGTTACCGTCAGAACGGGAGCTCGTTTCGGGAGAAGACCGGAGCTCTGAGGAAGCTGCTGAAGAAGCAGCTGGAGCTGGTTTATATCACCGCTCCGCTCACCGTGCAGCCAGCTGCTGCTGAAGGTCGGTCTCTATTGGATGAAACATTACAGCAACTCAGCGTCTCCAGTTTGCAACTAAATCAGAACCATTTCACTCCTCGTCTTCTAAATAAAGGCAGGGATTTTATTGCCATGGTGTACTTTGTTCAGATTAGTAAGACTGTAAAAATAGATACATGAAGGTAATTTTAAATCATAATTATTTGTGCTTAGTAAGTTGTAGAGAGAAATACAATCAGTTTTTTTTAAATTGTAGATTTTTTTCCCTAAGTTTTACAATTACTAAAAAATAAAAATACCCCTCTTTAAATTGTTGGGTACAACTATAAAAACTGTTCAGAGTCAAAAATCAAAAACCTCTTACATTCTCAGGTCTACTGAAATTGACTAAAAACTATTGTTGCAAAACTTTTTGCATTGTAACTTGGGGGGTTTTATAATTGTAGATCTTTCACTATTACAATTTTTTTTACTCCTCTTTAAAAAAGTACAAGTGCACAGCTTGTGCTTTGTGAGTCACACTTAAAGAAAAAATCTCTTAATAATTGAACATTATTGTTCTCAAATTGGAGAATTTTACCTCTGCTTTGAACAGGGAGTGGATTTTTAACTCGCAACCTCAGGATTCAAAGCTCTATGCCCTAACCACTAAGCTGCCACCCCCTTGCTTTTTTTTGTTTTGCTGCACTTAATCTAAAACAAATTATTTTTTTTTCTTTTGTTACTTAACCCTTACAGATCCATGTATACGATTCCTAGAATCTGCTGCTCTGAGTCACAAATTCAGCTTTACAAGTTGCACCTTCTCCTTACTATTGTTACTAATTTCATTTTGGACTAGAGAAACACTGAGCTAGAGTACACAGCTAATCATTTACAATAACAAAACCTTTTTATTTATCATTTACAATAACAAAACCTTTTTATTTAATTTCTCTATACAGCTTTGACTCCACAGTTGCAATGCACAATTACTTATGATTTAAAATCACCTTCATACAGAGATGCTTAAACTCTTAAAACTCTGATTATACCCCATTCAACCTTTCATTTTTGTCACACTACAAGTGCAAACTTTAATCTATTTCCACAAAGACATGTACAATATAATTGATTGAATGAAAATTCTAATAATTACATAGAAGAAGGTTGTCTGAGCAAGTTTATCCCAAGCTGAACTTTTTGGCCTACATAATTAGATCTGTGCATGGCAGTAAACTAATGCTGCTACCTGATCATAACAGCACACCATGCCAACAGTGAAGCATGGCGGTGGCAGCAGTTTGCCGTTTGCTTTAGCAGGAAGCTTATGAAAGCTGAAGGAATATTGAAGAAGCTGAGACTGAGATTGAGTCCTGGGGCCTGTTTCAATAAGGAAGTTCAACCAACTCTGAGTTAAAACTTGAACTCTGAGTTGACTTATCCTGAGATTGGAAACTCTAAGTTTTGGGTTTCAGAACAGCTGAAATGAGTTAGTTCAATCAACTCTAAATTGACTGACTCTGAGTTAAGCGCGTGCACCACAACTATAAAAAGCCATTATCAATGGAGCACAGATAGTACGACTCACCATGGCAACAGCGTCAGACAAAAAAAGGTGTGCATATTTCTCACCAGCAGAACTGGATGTGCTTATGCAAGCATATGCAGAATTTGAACATGTGTTTTTTTTTAAAAAGCAACACGGCTGCAGCGGCGAAGGAGAGAGAGTTAGCTTGGGTGAAAATAGCTGCTAGAGTCAATGCGTAAGTTTACATTTTAATTACTTTTATACAGTGTTGGGTGTAATGAATTAAGTTACTTAAGTCATATAAATACTGTAATTAAATTAAAGACTATAAAAAAATAGTGGATTTAATATCAAATTTTTAAAAGGTATATTTTGATTTGAACTTTCTCCCTCTAGTTACACACTTTGGTCAATTTAAGATTAATTCATGCAATTGAATATTGTTTATTTGAAAGCATTAGAAGTGCAGTTTCTTGTCTCTCCTTGTATTGTTCAAGTGGTTGAGGTTGATTTGGGATTTAGAAAGTAATTAATAAGTAAGTAAAACAAATTAGTAAGTAGACCAATACTTTCTAGAGACAGTAATTATTACATTAATCTAATTAGACTTGTTGAAGATAAAATTTGTAGTTAGTAATTAAGAACTATTTTAGAGTAACCTACCCAACTTTTATAATATCAGAGGTGAAACTGGAAGAACAGTATTTTATTAAACCTAATTTAGTTTTCATGGATAGGTGCAATCCTGCAGGCATCAAAAGAACATGGCAGCAGCTGAAAATGAAATATAAAAACATACTTCAAGCAGGTAAGCCTTGAGCACATCATGGGAGTAGAGTAGCTACCTGGCTTTACAAACAGGATCATCCATAAAAGGACATGCCATTTCATTGCCTATGATGCACTCTACATGACTGAAATGTGTGCAATGAATACTGTATGTCCCCAAAGAATCAATGAGGTGTTTAAACACCACTTCCTCTTTAAAAAAGGGGAGGAGACCAAAATAAACTCTGGATTTTCTGAAGAAAACCTGCTCCCGACCAGGTTAGGTTCACAGAGTAAATTGCCATGGTAACTGACTCTGAGTATAAGTTACCTCTCTTTCAGAAACGGGCTTGACTTACTCTGCTTTCTCAGGTTTAACTTACCTCCCTTTCTGAAACAGAAAACCCAGAGTTTCCCTCATTTCAGGGTTAACAAACTCAGAGTTTTCACTTAACCTCCTTTCTGAAACAGGCCCCTGATCTACATACAAATGGGAATGCATTGGAAGGTTTTAGGAATCAATGTTTGTTGATGTTTTGCATCCAATACAAATTAGCTTCAGCTATAATGGCAAATATTTCCTCCTCTAGATGTAAAAAAAAGCTGATCGATACGCAAAAAGCCTCAGGATTGCTGGAACTGGGCTGGATACAAATACATGCATACTTTTACTATTTAGATTTTCTTCTGTGTTAATCTGTTACTGGGTTCTTCATTTCCATTCCTTGATGTCTGGTATCATGCACCTTTCAGATGTGTCTCTGCTTGGCAGTAATGAGAGATTAAAGTTCTGCTACAGATCAGTTTTTTGATTCAGGTCATTTGAAGCAAGGAATATCTAAAAGGGTAATTCTACAAATTGACTGTCAGAAAAGTTGAAGCTAGAATAATTTTCCCTATGTGCATTAAAATAACAAAAGCATACATCAACCTACTACTAATATTACCCAAAATGACTTTGCTGTAAAAGTAACTACACGTTTCAGGAAACATTGTGTACAGAAGTTAGAACTTCAATAGGAATCCATCATTCATACTTTTTCTTTGTGAAACCTTTAACAGTGTTTTAGGAAAACTTTTTTAATTAAAGGAAACCACCTGTCTAATTTGTATTGCTTAAACACTAAAGTAACTTTATTTTTTTTCCTTCTCTTTGTAAGAGAGTTCTAAGGAGGACAATATTTCCGTTCCTGCAGCAGGGGGCAGCGAAGAGTCCAGGGGCTGGTGGTTTTCAGACATTCAGGCTCTGAGCTTCAGTGCCCAGCAGCAGTGTGAGTCGAGCCTTGGCCTCGAGGAGAGCATAGCGACTGTGAGGGAAGCTGTGAAGACTCAAGGCCCGTTTGACGGCGTCCTGGGATTCAGTCAGGGAGCTGCCTTTGTTGCCATGCTTTGCTCCCTGCAGGAGCAAAAGCTGGAGCCGGATTTAAACTTCCGCTTTGCCATCCTGGTTGCTGGTTTCCGCAGCGCGTGTGAGGAACACTTAAAGTTCTACAAAGCTCCGCTCCAAATCCCTTCACTGCATGTATTTGGACTGGAGGACAAGGTCATCCCTGACAACATGAGTAGGGAACTTCTCTCCTGCTTCCAGGACCCTCAGGTCCTCATACATCCCGGGGGTCACTTTGTTCCAGCTGCAGGGGCTCACAGGCAAACGTATCAGGACTTTCTGAAGACCTTCCAGTAAAAGTGTTTGTGGAAGTTCCAGTAACATCACAAAACCACTGTCGTCAAAAGCTTCAACAGAAAAAAAACTGAAGCATTAATGTTAACATTTGTATCTCGGTCCAGATAAATTTTGGATAAAAAGATCTGGATCGAGATCTGAGTTTTAAGCAACCTTTTATCTGCTACATCCAAAAAATGTGCATGTAATTTTCTCAGGGAAAATATAAAGAAAATTAAAATATTGTTTAAAATTATGGTCTGTCTTATGTGATGCTGCATTTGAAGTCCTAAAGATGTGTTTATTTCACATAAATACAATGCAAATAAGTGACTAATTATAAATAACATCCATCCATCCATTATCTGACATGCTTGTCCCAAGGGGTGCTGGTTCCTATCTCCAGCAGTCAATGGGTGAGAGGCAGGTTGCCAGTCCATCGCAGGGCAACACAGACACACAACCATTCACACACACCTAAGGGCAATTTAGAGAAGTCAGTTAACCTAACAGTCATGTTTTTGGACTGTGGGAGGAAACCAGAGTACCTGGAGAGAACCCACACATGTTCAGGGAGAACATGCAGAAAGACTCTGGGCCAGGAATTGAACCCAGAACCTTCTTGCTGCAAGGCAGCAGTGCTACCCACTGTTCTACTGAGCAGCCCTAATTTAATTATAATAAATAATTCAAAATACACAGAAACTTTTAGGCCATCAACTGTAGAAGATTCCTAGAAGGGAATGACCCCAACCTAACATAGGTCAACATGAATGTTTCTTTCAGGCTTTATAAAGGCTAAGATAAACGGGCACATATGACAAAAGCCCACAAGAGGAGCCAAATGCCAGGTGCTGGTTGTCAGAGCAACCGCCCGAAACTGCAAAATCAGACAAATAAACCTGTGCACTGCCCGAATGATTGAACTAAAATGACCCTATATTTATATTTGTGTGGGACAGTGTGGCATTTCTCACTTATGTCCTGCTGTCCCACAAAGCCAAACAATGTCCCTCATTTCCCTGAGTGAAATTAGAAAAGTTTAAAACTATTTATTAGGTTACTAAATGCTAGGACACAAGAGCTGCAGTGATTGTCACAGAGCGGTGCCAGGGCTGTGGGGCTTCTAGATGCACACAACAATCATAGAGTCAAATCAATGAGACATTATGATCATTGACAAACAGCAAAGGTCAGCCGTAGTGATCCATGAAGATCATTGATTTGTGTTTTCTGGTTTTGGTTCTTTATTATTTTTTGTCCATTTTTATTAATTACTGTAATAGGAAATCTAAGGAAAGAATATATTATTTATTTGAAATATATTGTATTGAGCTGTCTTGTGAAACATTAGTAAAAACAATTGCGCTATGGGTCTGCTTTTCCTTAGCAGTGACAGGGAAGCTGTTCAAAACTAATTGGAAATGAATGGAGTAAAATACAGGACAATCCTGGAAAAAAATCTGTTGAAGGATGTAAAAGGCTTGACTTGGTTGAAGATCCTTTTCCAGAAAAGCACACAAACTAGAGCTTTAGTGCTATTGGTTTTATGTCAAAGCAAGTAAGAATATGTTAAGATTTCAAAACGGATATTCTCAGAAACCTTTCATCCGATTCTGACTGAGCTGGAGTTTTTTTTTTTTATATAGAAGTAGTAAAATATACGGCATTTTTATGAGCATTTTTTCGACTTAGGCTTTAAAAGCTTACTTTTGAAAACCATTTCTGGTTTCAAGTTGTGAAAATAAAATTATCTTTTTACAACTCATTGCATGTTTTAGGAATTGTTATATTAACATTTCATACATCTCAACAGTTTCATCAACAGGTTGGTATGAACATTTTGTGTATTTCTTTCCCTTTTACCATTTTGGTCAGATCCTCTCTTGTTTATGAAAACCACATGACACCAGTGGACGCCTGACATTTTGCATTTTTTTGGGGGGGGGGGGTTTGGTGACACTTGAAACACAATTGGTAAAAGGTTTCAAAGAATCTTTAATAGAACCACAGTAGAAACCTTGATTTATTAAATATGACTGCACAGAGCTTGACTTACCAAAAACATCCTGGGTCTCGGGGAGGGCGCTTTGATTTTTGTTGATAAATGGAAAGGTAACACATGGACAGGTTTGTATGGTGGCTGAAACTACACAGGGTTCAAGTACGTGTTGTTCTTTTGTAGCTGAAGCATGTGCACGTAAGGCTACTCTCGTTCAATCGTTTCCAGATGTGTGCTCTCTGCCTCTCTCTTCTCTACCTCGTTCTCCGTTTCTTTCATCTTATCACAGATTCTACCTTAAAACAGACTGGCCTCAGCATCTTCCCTTCCATCTATGTTCTGCGTCATAGAAGTAGAACTCGAGCATGTGTTTCTCTCACCTCTAACATGTACAACCCCTGGCAAAAAGTATGGAATCACCAGTCTTGGATGAGCACTCATTCAGACATTTCATGCTGTAAAACAAACTCAGATCAAAAACATGATACAATATTAAGGTCGTTCCAAAGTGCAACTTGTTGGCCTTCAGGAACACTCAAAGAAATGAAGAGAAAACATTGTGGAAGTCAGTGAATGATACTTTTATTGACCAAACACAGGGAAATAAATATGGAATCACTCAATTCTGAGGAAAAAAGTATGGAATCATGAAAAACGCATAAACAAAAGACCATTCAAAATACATCACTAGTATTTAGTTGCACCACCTTTGGCTTTTATAACAGCTTTCAGTCTTTGAGGCATGGACTTGATGAGTGACAAACAGTATTCTTCATCAATTTGGTGCCAACTCTCTTTGATAGCAGTTGCCAGATCAGCTTTGCTGGTTGGACCCTTCTTGTGGACCATTTTTTTCAATCTCCACCACAGGTTTTCAATTGGGTTGAGATCTGGACTATTTGCAGGCCATGACATCGACTGAATGTGTCTTTCTTCAAGGAATGCCTTCACTGTTTTTGCCCGATGGCACGATGCATTGTCATCTTGGAAAATTATTTCATCATCACCAAACATCTGTTCAATTGAAGGGATGAGAAAACTGTCCAAAATGTCAATGTAAACTTGTGCATTGATAGAAGAATTAACCACAGTCGTCTCCCCAGTGCCTTTGCCTGACATGCAGCCCCATATCATCAAGGACTGTGGAAATTTGGTTGTTTTCTTCAGGCAGGCCTCTTCATAAATCTCACTGGAACGGCACCAAACAAAAGTTCCAGCATCATCACCTTGTCCAATGCAGATTCTTGACTCATCACTGAAGACAACTTTCATCCAGTCATCCACAGTCCATGATTGCCTCTCCTTAGCCCATTGGAGTCTCGTTCTTTTATGTTTAGGTGTCAATGCTGGTTTTCGTTTAGCTTTCCTGTATTGAAATCCCATCTCCTTTAGGCGATTTCTTACGGTTCGGTCACATACATTGACTCCAACTTCCTCCCATTTATGCTTCATCTGTTTAGTTGTACTTTTTCGGTTTTCAAGACAAATGGCCTTAAGTTGTTTGTCTTGACGCTTTGATGTCTTTCTTGGTCTACCAGTACGCTTGGCTTTAACAACCATTCCATGCTGTTTGTATTTGGTCCATATCTTGGATACAGCTGACTGTGAACAGCCCACATCTTTAGCAACCATGCGTGAAGGGTTACCTTCTTCAAGAAGTTTCACAATCCTCTCTTTTGTTTCAAGGGACATTTCTCTTGTTGGAGCCATGGTTCTCACCACTCCACTTGGTCCAGCAGCCCTCCAAGGTGTCATGACTGCAGGTGTTTTGAACTGCACACTAACGGGCACATCTAATCTGGGGCAGGTGTCCATTTAGGGAAAGAAAATAGACTGGGTGTGTCCTTTTTTTTCTACCTCCAATTTGAGTGATTCCACACTTTTTTCCTCAGAATTGAGTGATTCCATATTTATTTCCCTGTGTTTGGTCAATAAAAGTATCATTCACTGACTTCCACAATATTTTCTCTTAATTTCTTTGAGTGTTCCTGAAAGCCAACGAGTTGCACTTTGGAACGACCTTAATATTGTATCATGTTTTTGATCTGAGTTTGTTTTACAGCATGAAATGTCTGAATGAGTGCTCATCCAAGACTGGTGATTCCATACTTTTTGCCAGGGGTTGTATTTAGTTCATCTAGGTCAGATGAGATCTCTCACCTAAAAGACCTTTGTTTTTCAGGAGTTCCCTTCAGAATTTCCCAGCAAAACTAGAAGTTTCCTTAGAATAACATTCATTTTGGCAGCATTCTAAATATTCTCCATAATACACTGCTCAAAAAAATGAAAGGAACACTTTGAAAAGACATCGTATCTCAATGGGGAAAAAAATCATGCTGTTTATTTATACTGATATGGACTGGGTGATGTGTTAGGAACAAAAGGATGCCACATCATTTGATGGAAATAAAAATCATCAAACTACAGAGGGCTGAATTCAAAGACACCCCAAAAATTGCAGTGAAAAAATGATGCGGCAGGCTAGTCCATTTTGCTGAAATTTCATTGCAGCAACTCAAAATATTCAGTAATTTGTATGGTTCCCACGTGCGTGTATGCATGCTTGACTATCTCCTCCCAGGCTGCCTGCATACTCTCACCACATGAGGCCGGACATTGCCATGCACCAGGAGGAACCCAGGACCCACTGCACCAGTATAGGGTCTGACAATGGGTGCAAGGATTTCACCCCGATACCTATTGGCAGTCAGAGTGCCGTTGTCTAGCCTGTATAGGTCTGTGCATCCCTCCATGGATATGCCTCCCCAGACCATCACTGACCCACCACCAAACTGGTCATGCGGAACGATGTTACAGGCAGCATAATGTTCTCCATGGCTTCTCCAGACCCTTTCACGTCTGTCACATCTGCTCAGGATGAACCTGCTCTCTCATCTGTGACACCCAATTCCGGTGTTCTGTGGCAAATGCTAATCGAGCGCCACGGGCCCACTAGAGGATGGCCCTTAGACCATCCTCATGAAGTCTGTTTCTGATTGTTTGGTCAGAGACATTTACACCATTGGCCTGCTAGAGGTAATTTTGTAGGGCTCTGGCAATGCTCTTCCTGCTCCTCCTTGCACAAAGGAGCAAATACCAGTCTTCCTGATGGGTTGTAGACCTTCTACAGCCCTGTCCAGCTCTGCTAAAGTAACTGCCTGTCTCCTGGTATCTCCTCCATGCTCTTGAGATTGTGCTAGGATACACAGCAAACCTTCTGGCAATGGCACATATTGATGTGCCATCCTGGAGGA